AAGGAGCGGTCCCCGCGGGTGTCACTGATCAGCGTGCAACAAGTAACGTGTCCGCCGCCGCCTCTTGCTAATCTCGGCTTCCTCGCCGCGCTCGCGTGGGCTCTGCGACTCCCGGCCCGGCCCTCCCCTGCCCGATGCGGCTGGCGTCCGCCCTGCTGGTGCCGCTTAGCGTAGGCAGGGTGGGACAGACGGGACAGTCCTGACCCGATCTGGGTCCTGTCCCTGAGGTCTTTCGGGCGGTTCGGACAGGCTGGCGGCAGCGTTCCGTGCCGCCGCGGAGGCCGTGCCGGTGTCACTGCCGTGAGCTGTGCGGCTGCGGGTGCTCGGGGCAGGAAGGGGCCGCTGGTGCGCGTGGCGCTAATTGCCTGTGCTCGCTGCGCAGCTTGTGCGGGACCTGGGCAGAGCTACCCGCGAACTGCTCTAACGACAATTTATTTGAAACTTTTATTTCTTTTAGTCAGTTCTTATGAACTGGTTTCCTTCTGGGAAGGTTTCTTGGGTTTGAGTTTGCACGGAGATCTGTAGACGTTTTTGGGTTTTTTTCCTCTTAAAATCTAGTTGATAAGGTAACAAAGCTGTTTAAATAACACCCCACCCTACCCCCTCCCGAATGTTACGGGGACTTGTTTGTGTTATGGTAAAGACTTATTTCACTAAAATTTTGTGTGTTTCCTTGGAATTTATCTCTGCTTAATTGCTTGAGTATAGTACGGTATGGCTCTTTCTACAGGAGTTTGGTTTCCAGGTTTTTATTTTCACTTGTGAAATGTCCTAACGCTTGGTTGAAATATCAGCCTTTATATATAAAACTGTGAAAAAAGGTTTATTTAGTTTTATTTTATCAACTCATTGCAAATAGTTGTGGGCATTCCATGGGGCTGCAGCCAACAGACTGGAAAAAACAGTGTTACAGACTGTTGTTCAAAGGCACCGATTTTAAGATTGGATGCCTCTAATTGCTTGGTCTTAGTCTCTTTACACTGATCTGGAACAGAATCTAAATGTACTGTGCTACTTGACACCTGCTATGAAGATAATAAATTAATGAAAACTAGGCAATAGTATTGCTTTCTGAGTGATAAGAATAATGTCTGTTACTTAAAGAGATGATAGGAGAATTATATTTTTAAATGTCAATGGAAGGAGTAGGTTTTTCTTGTAATGAAAAAAGTAAATTTTAAGCTGGTACTAGAGTCTTGAAGAAATACCTGAATAATGCATTTTGCATTTCTTTTTATTGCACTCTCCTCTCCAAGTAAGGCAGTGTTTTTGTTTGTTTGTTTTGTTTGTGATTTTGTTGGCTTTTTTTTTGGTTGTTTTTAATTATGTACCCATTTTTGGGTTGTTATTGAAGACCAGAACCATTCTGGGTATGGAAATGCGGGTGAAATGGAAAATGAGTATTGAAATTAACTTTAAGTCCTTGATTGAGTGAGAGGAGAGAAAACAGTTGTTCTGCAGCCTTTGACTACCCTGAAAGAAAGCTTGTAATTTACAAGCTGTCCTGTTCTTGGTCTGTGCTTTTTGGCAGTATCATTCCATTTCATGTATCTCTCTTTTCTTGGTATCTGCTAGTGCTTTAAAATTTGCATTTGTATCTTCTTGTTAATTTAGTTTTCTTGCCTTTTGTGACAAGATAGTTTCAAAACCAGAACTGGAGGGGCATTGCAAATTAATATTATTAAAATGCTATGCTACCTAATCTTTACTAGACAAAACAGCAGAGCCATTATCTCCTGGTGGCTGTCTTGTCTTACATAGAGGTGTGTATGTAGATGCAAGGATTATAATGAGGTATAACAACAGTGCAAGGTAATGAAGCAGCTTCAAGGGTTCATGTACACATATGCCAGAACTGCCAGGTGCTATAATTGTCATGGTATTTGTAATAGTAGTTTTCCCGTGTAGTTACTGTGATCTCTCCTTGTCCTCTCTTCAGTACCTTCTCCCAACCACTGCTCATTCAGTGTTTTTTGCTCTATTCCAGTGGTGCACAGGGATGGATTGAAAGCAAGTAAAGGAAGCAAAATTTTGTAAAAGGGGAAGGAGAGGTTTCATAGCTTAAGCACTGTCTGGGAGAACTGGATTCTTGCTAATCTCCTTTGTTTCCTTTATGATATGAGATGCATTACTTCAACTAGACTTGCCATAGGAAATCACTACTTATGTATCCCTTGTTTGCTCCGTATTTGCAGTGGTGGATTTTGAGTTAGAAGAATCCTGGGTGTTTACGAGTTCAGTTAAGTGAGACTGATGCCAAATACCTTGGAAATTGGTGTCCTTGCTTATAATCATGGTTAACATCTTGTCATTTGGTAGTGCTCAGGGAAAAGTGAATCAGCATATCCTCTATATTGAACAGGGCTGAGAGTCATGATAAGTTTATTTGATGCTCTGTTGCGGGGTGTTGCGGAGAAGTCTGGATGATACACCATATATACATTTTTTTCTCTTCTTCCAGGCTTATCTGTGGACAAAGGACTTTTCTCCACTGTTGGTACACTCACTAAGAGTCTTTTCCCTTCTTGGGGAACCATGTTTTGTTCTTGGTCTTTAATAATTATCTTCTGCCAGAAGACAGGGAGCAGGGTCCTTCTGTTCTTCTAAGTCACAGTTTGAGAATTCTACAAAGCAGAGAGAGTGGGCGTCTGTCTCTTGCACAAGGAAACTGCGTTAAGACTGTACAGGACAAAGAGGAGTTGAGGGGGGGCGTGGGTGAGGAGAGAAATATTGATGGAAATTCACTGATATTTAACCAATTTTCCTCCCTCCTTTCCTTTTAACTTACAGATATCCTTGATTTGCAGAAGACTCTCAAAATGTTGTGTCGAGCTGCTCTGAGCCCTCTTGTCCATTCCCCTGGACGGTGCTTTCTGTTGTCGCCACGTGCCATCACAGCCATCTCCTGTTTATGTATGTATGAGAGAGAGCACATGTTTCTGATGTTGGGCAGTATATGTCTGGGCATGCCTGTGGTCTTTCCTATCCTGAAAGGAGAATCACCTCATTAACATAATTCAAAACTTAAAACCTCTGGAGTGAGATGCAGTTGAAGTTCTCCTTTCTTAATGTTACTGGATGGACAGCTGGATGTCTGAGAGGGTGTATTTTATATTCTGACACGCATTTCAAGCAAAAAAGTCAGTTGTGAAAGTACTGCTACTGTAAAAGTTCTTTATTTCAACCTCTCGTGTTTCTAGAAAGCAAGATCTGATTATGCCTGCTCCCCCGTCTGCATTTTCAGCCCACAAGTGTCTTGAGTAAAGCAAGGTGTGAAGCTCAAATTTATTCAGATTAGACAAAAGTGAAAAGATGCTTGCAGGAAACCTGAGTGAAAGTACATAGGTACTTTATAGTACCTATAAATAGGTTAGTAATTAGGACTTTAGTGGAGATGAATGAAATTTTCTGTTTGTTCTAGAACCATTGTCTTTTTCCTTGTTTTTCTGAAAAAGTAAGTGTTTCTTTTCAGATACTGGTTATCCCTCAACAGCTGTCTTCTAGGAACCTTCTAAATCCTGAAGCTCTAACCATACTTGCTAGTGGTGCAGTCACGTGTTGAAGAGAACTGGCCTTAGGATTGAGCCCTGAGGAACACTGCTGGTGACCTGTCACCAGCCAGATGTAGCCCCACTAACTGCAACCCTTTGAGCCCTGCTGTCCAGTCAGTTCTTCACCCAGTGCACCATGAACCTGCCTCTGTGCTTTCCATCTGCCTTCATTCCTTCAGCTTAATTTTGGGACTTTATATGTTTGGGTCCGCCTCTTTGTCAATTAGAAAGGATCCAGACTGTTCCTTGTGCTTGTACCTTAATAGTCTTTATTGTCTTTAATCTTCTGTGCTGATAGTGGTATTACTGTCCTTTGCAGACACTTTGAAAACAAATATTTTGCTGAGAAATGTTCCCTACTTCATTGACTTGGGGGAAGTGCCAGTCTTATGTGTTTTGTATCTTACCTGAGCAATGCTGTGATTATCTCTTCTCCCTCCAATGCCTGTTTATCCTTTAGGATGTTCCAGTTCGTATGTCCCTCATCGCCCTTCTGCTGCCCCTAGTTGAGCAATGTGCAAAAATGCCTGACTTAGAGAGGTTCTAAGAGCTGCGTTTCTTTTCCTTCTTGACCATCAAGCTTTCTGCACAGCTACAGACAGGAAAACCCTCTAGCTGTATTTAATGAGGCAAGGCAAAGGAGATTGTTTTTAAAACTAGTACTTGTAATGTGAGCTGTATGGGCTCTTTTACAGTGTCTTCTAGGTTCCTGGAGTCAAAGCTCTGTGACACATAAGATACTGCCTTATATACCTTAGGGTGCAGTGCTGCTCAAATATTATCGGTTCTCACTTTGGTGACTTGAAAGCTAGCTTCTCATTCCCAGTCACTGAGAAGTGTATAGTGTGAGCTTTAGCCTTGGAAAGGGAGGAAATGTTACATGACTTTAAAGGCTCGAAGTCTGAATGAAACACTTAAAACTGCATTTTTCTTTCTGTAACCACAGATCTCCCTCGCCATAACCAAAGACTAAGAAATGAATCCGTCCGGTGCTGGAGCAACATCCCATTTATCACCATGCCGCTTAGCCGTGCACATGGGAAATCATTTGCGCACCGCAGTGAGCTGAAGCATGCAAAGCGGATTGTGGTGAAGCTAGGTAGTGCTGTTGTGACTCGCGGGGATGAGTGTGGCTTGGCCCTTGGGAGGCTGGCATCTATTGTAGAGCAGGTAATTCTGGGACCGAAGAGCAATGTTTGTTTTAACTTCCGGTACTTGGTGACTGTTGGATGGCACAGAAGATTGTAGGAAAAAACTCATAAAATAGTGATGGCCCTGTAAAGCATTGTCTTGGCCTTTCCCTTTTTCATCCCCCCTGTGCTATGGAAGCATAAACCAGGTAACTCAGTAAGTTGGTGTTAGCAGGTGTGATGGGTTGACCCTGACCAGCAGCTAAGCACCAGCAGATGCTCATTCACTCCCCACACCTCTGCCCAGCCACCAGTCAGATTGGGAGGAAAATAGGAAGAGCAAAAGTAAGAAAACTCATGGATGGAAATAAAGACAGTTTGATAAGTGAAGGAGAGGGAGAAACAAGTGATGGTAAGGCAGTCATTCAGTACCTTGCACAAGCAGACTGATGCCCAGCTAGTCCCCAAGTGATGGACACCTTGAAAGATAGCCCCTTCCCTTTCCTATTCTGTTACCCCAGTTTTATGACTGAGCTTGACATTATATGGCATGGAATATCCCTTTGGCAAGTTCATGTCAGGTGTCCTAAATGTGCCCTCTCTGAACCTCTTGCCCAGCCCCTAGCCTTGCTGCTGTGATGGGACATAGCGGGGGGGAAAAAAAACAAAGCCTCGATGCTGTGCAAGTCCTGCTCAGCATGGGAAAAAGTTAGGGTTTTGATGCTGTGCAAGCACTATTTAGCAGTAGGCAAAACATCAGACTGTTATCAACACTGTTTTAGTCCTGAAATCCAAAACACAGCACCTTATGGGCCCCTATGAAGAAAGTTAACTCCGTCTTGGCCAGACTCAGTGTAGAGGGAGAGATTTAGTCATTAGATTTTTATACAATAGGTAAGATGTGACTGGGGCATTAGATGGATCTAGAGGGCAGGTGACACTGAAGTCTGTGAAGTCTGCAGAAAGAGTAGGCCCTTCTTGATTACCTGAGCATTTGCAGATTTCCTCCAGGAAAAAGCTTTAAACTTCATTACTTGCAAGAAAAACTGATGGGATCAACTCTTGGATTGGTTCCGCAAAATGGAATTCTGACTTTGAGGGGGAAAAAGTCTTATTCATGTCTTCTCTGGGAAGGAAAGTTAGCATAACAAATGAAATTCCTGTAAGACGTTAGCTTTAGAGCTTCATAGGGAAGAGTGTGGCCAGCAGGTCAAGGGAAGTCATTCACCCCCTCTACTCTGCACTGGGGAGGCCACAACTGGAATACTGTGTCCAGTTCTGGGCTCCCCTGTTCAAGAGGGACAGGGAACTACTGGAGAGAGTCCAGCGAAGGGCAACAAAGATGATTCAAGGATTGGAGCATCTCCCTTATGAAGAAAGACTGAGAGAGCTGGGACTCTTTAGTCTGGAGAAGGCTGAGGGGAGACCTTATTAATGCTTACAAGTATCTCAAGGGTGGGTTGAAGGAGGAGGGAGCCAGACTCTTTTCAGTGGTTCCCAGTGACAGGACGAGGGGCAACGGGCACAAGTTGGAACATAAGAGGTTCCACTCAAATATGAGAAAAAACTTCTTCACAGTAAGGGTGACAGAGCCCTGGAACAGGCTGCCCAAGGAGGTTGTGGAGTCCCCTTCTTTGGAGATTTTCAAGACCCACCTGGATGCAGTCCTGAGTAACATGCTCTGACAAGCTCTAGGCAATCCTGCTTTAGCAGGGGAGTTGGACTAGATGAACTCTAAAAATTCAGTGAAATTCAGTGAATCTGGCTAGATGTATGTAAGGAAGAAGTAATTAAAAGCTGTACTGTCAGAGTTAGCTTCTTCACTTCTAGAATACAAAGTTATTGTATGGTGGCAGCTTTGGGAATGGATGGTGAATAAGAAGTTTGGTGGAAGGTACAACTGCCACTTTGCAGATTCTTCATATCTTATCTTTCCTTATCTGTAGCAATGGAGGTGGAGGGGCAAGGGGTATAGAAGTGTTATTGTGAAAAGTCAAGCATGACTCATAAAAACTGGTATTGTGAAAAGAAAGTTTAGCAGAGGCTATGGATTCCATGCAGTCCTTTGCATAGCTCTTAGGTAGCCAGGTAGGTGTGCTGGAGTATCATAGAAGGTGGTTGCCTTGCTTTGCACATCTGTGGATAAAGTGAAACACTTTTGTCAGCAAGAATCGGTCAGCATAAGGTTGCCTATAACAGCCAGAACTCTCGTGCTAGGAGTGATTGTACTCCAGGTCCTGTTTCTTATGTTCTGTACTTACAGGTGTCAGTGCTGCAAAATCAGGGCCGAGAGATGATGATTGTCACCAGTGGTGCTGTAGCTTTTGGAAAGCAGCGATTGCGTCATGAGATCTTGCTTTCTCAGAGTGTGAGGCAAGCGCTTCATTCAGGCCAGAATCAGCTAAAAGATATGGTGAGTGTCTGGCAGCACGCCTGCTTTTCCTTGAACATTGGGTATTACCTGCTAAAGTCACTGCCTGACAGCTGATCTTTATCTCTGTAGGCTATTCCAGTCTTGGAAGCCCGAGCCTGTGCAGCAGCTGGCCAGAGTGGACTAATGGCTCTGTATGAGGCCATGTTTACACAGTACAGCATCTGTGCAGCTCAAGTAAGGGATTCTTTCTTTCCTAGACTGACTGACTACTTCAGTCAGTGATGGAATTGTTCTTGGATTTTTTCCATGTTTTATATGCCGCTATCTTTACTGTAGTCTCGTGTTTCCATTTTGGGGCTTATTGTAGCACAAATGGTAGCTTATAAAGGAGTGCCTTGTGAAGTATTTCTCAAATGGAGTTACCTAAGGTGAAGGAAATATACTTTTTCTTTTTGGAGTTCATGTTTGTCTTGCTCTTATGTATGCAGTAAGGTCTGTTAAGGTCTCTTCACAAAAGGTAAAGTTTGTGATAGAAACTGAGGGTTTAAAAATCACAAGTGGCTGAACTACAACACATTCTATAAAGCTGGCAGAAGGGTATAGCCACACCCCAGAACTTGCTGTCCATCTGCTCCTCAAACCTATCTAACTTGTGGGTGATAGTATCTGTAGCCTGGGTCTTCCACCTATACTGAATGCTGCAACTGTATTACTTGAACTTAACAGGCTTTGCTTATCTTAAATACTCTGAGAATTCAGAATTGCACAAACTGTAAGGCCTTATTTGTTTAGATACTTTTAATGAATTTAGGAACCTATTACGATGTCTCGCTTGGAGGAACTTCTTCCTGTAGTAGAGTATAGCTGATATCACTAAAATGTTTAAGTATAGCTAACAATCAATATATATTGTGCTGATTATAATTTTGTTCAAGTTGGCAGACAACTACAGTTCCTTTGATTTAGAAGAATTAATTGCCTGTGCCAAAAAAGTCAGTGTACACGTTGATTCCAAGTGCTATTGTAGCATTTGTGTGGTGGAGTTGTTTGCTTAGTTCTCCAATGTCCAATGGCAGAGTAAAAATGAAAAAAAATGACCCTTCAGAGCAGACATTGAGGGGTTTTTGTATTAAAATACCAAAAAGAAAAGGGTGGTGTCTGCAAACAGGCGGTTTTAAGACCAAAATTCTTTCAGAAAAGCAAGTTCTGGAGCTGAAGAGAACTCTTGAGAGAAAGCATCCCTTCTGTTAGCAACAGTAGAAACAGTACACTGGGAGGGAAAATGGGAAAGGCAGTGTCTTGCATAAACTGTCAAATTGTTTAGGGACTTTATAGTTATCAGCATCTATGTTCTGCTTATTGGTTTTTTTCCAAGTTAATTCCTGGAGCCTGTGATCTGTCAGCCTGAGAAGGCTCCAGTGGAAGTTAAGGCATATAAACCTGAAAATGTTGTGGAAAGAATATTTCTTGCTTATATTCTTTATCCTTTAAATGTGGCTTATGTTTCTTTAGTGACTGGAAGGGCCTGACTGATCCGTTATGATATATTAATACACACATTTATGATGTTCTTGGGAAAAGTGGTAGGCTAAGTATATATATATATATTTTTTTTTCCCCTCCCTTTAGATTTTAGTCACCAACCTGGATTTCCATGATGAACAGAAGCGTCGGAACTTAAATGGAACATTGCATGAGCTTTTAAGAATGAATATTGTCCCTATAATTAATACTAATGATGCTGTTGTTCCACCTCCAGAGCCGAACAGTGATCTGCAGGGGGTAAATGTGGGTAAAGTATAACAAGGGGGTGGATCCTGCTTGTACATAGTACAGCACTAATGTGTAATTTCCTAATATTTGGGGACCTTTGAAGCCTGCAGCAGGGAAACTTACAACATTGCAGACAGACGGTGTTGGAAGACTACACTGATCTGCCTGTTTCTGGCATGATACTGTGCTGTGGGGTGGAAGCAGGGCAGATGATGTCTGCTCTGCCAAAAGCAAGCATGCCCGGTTTGGTTTTCACTGAGCAGTTGAAGTTGGAAGGGACTTCTGCAGGTCATCTAGTCCAGCACCCCCGCTTAAAGCAGGGCCAGTTGGTATCTCTTGTCCTGTCACCAGGCACCAGGATGCAGATACTGCCCACTGTAGGAGAAGATCAGGTTATAGACCATCTAAGGAACCTGAAGGTACATAAGTCCATGGGACCTGATGAAATCCATCCATGGGTCCTGAGGGAGCGGGCGGATGAAGTTGCTAAGTCGCTCTGCATTATATTTGAGAAGTCATAGCAGTCTGGTGAAGTTCTGCTGACTGGAAAAGGCAAAACGTAACTCCCGTTTTCAAAAGGCAAAAAAAGGAAGACCGGGAAACTACAGGCCAGTCAGTCTCACCTCTGTGCCCGGCAAGGTCATGGAGCACATCCTCCTGGAATCTGTGCTAAGGCACATGAGAAATAAGGAGGTGATTGGTGACAGCCAACATGGCTTCACCAAGGGCAAATCATGCCTGACAAATTTGGTGGCCTTTTATGATATTGCCACAGCATTGGTAGACAAGGGCAGAGCAACAGACGTCATCTCCCTGGACTTATGCAAAGCGTTTGACACTGTCCCACATGACATCCCGGTCTCAAAATTGGAAAGTCACGGATTTGATGTATGGATCACACGGTGGATAAGGAACTGGCTGGATGGCCACACTCAAAGGGTTGCGGTCAACGTCTCAATGTCCAAGTGGAAGCCAGTGACAAGTGGTGTTCCTCAGGGGTTGGTACTGGGACCAGTGCTGTTTAACATCTTTGTTGGAGATATGGACAGTGGGATGGAGTGCACCCTCAGCAAGTTTGCCAATGACACCAAGCTGTGTGGCACAGTCGACACGCTGGAGGGAAGGGATGCCATCCAGAGGCACCTGGACAGGCTTGAGAGGTGGGCCTGTGCAAACCTCATGAAGTTTAACCAAGCCAAGTGCAGGGTCCTGCACCTGGGACATGGCAATCCCAGGTACAAATACGGGTTTGGTGGAGAGTGGCTGGAGAGCAGCACTGAGGAGAAGGACTTGGGAGTGCTCATGGATGAGAAGCTCGACATGAGCCAGCAGTGCACACTGGTAGCCCAGAAAGCCAACCACATCCTGGGCCGCAGCAAAAGAAGTGTGGCCAGCAGGTCGAGGGAGGAGATTCTGCCTCTCTGCTCTTGTGAGACTCCACCTGGAGTACTGTGTCCAGCTTTGGAGTCCTCAACACAGGAAGGATGTGGACCTGTTGGAATGAGTGCAGAGGAGGGCCACGAAGATGATCAGAGGGATGGAGCACCTCTCCTATGAAGACAGGCTGAGAGAGCTGGGGTTGTTCAGCCTGGAGAAGAGAAGGCTCCGGGGAGACCTTATAACGGCCTTCCTGTACCTGAAGGGGGCTTACAGGAGACATGGGGATAGATTCTGTTAGGGAGCATAGCGATAGGACAAGGGGTAATGTTTTGAAATTGAAACAGGGGAAATTTAGATTAGATATCAGAAATATAAATTCTTTACAGTGAGGGTGGTGAGGCACTGGAACGGGTTCCCCAGAGAAGTTGTGGATACTTCATCCCTGTAAGTGTTCAAGACCAGACTGGATGGGGCTTTGAGCAACCTGGTCTGGTGGGAGGTGTCCCTGCCCATGGCAGAGGGGTTGGAACTAGATGATCTTTAAGGTCCCTTCCAACCCAAGCCATTCTGTGATCACACTGCTTGTCATTTTGATACTACTTTACCACATTCCAAAAGTGGAAAAGTACTTCCACACAAAAATCGCTTTTGAAGTTTCCAGTGGGTGTGAACAAAGTAGCTCAGAAGGATTTGGTAGTGCTGAGTTAGCTTGTTTTTGTTATGTTGCGACTAAATATTTTCTAGTTCCTCCCTCTATTCAGTGCTGCTGATACGTGTGTGCATTGCAGGTGATTAGCGTGAAGGATAACGACAGTCTGGCAGCACGACTGGCTGTGGAAATGAAAACTGATCTCCTGATTGTTCTCTCAGATGTAGAAGGTTTGTGAGGCATTTCTTTACTTTCTTGTTTTGCTGAAGAAATCAGATAGTCAAACCAACCTGAATTCAGGTTCATATCTTTTGCAGGGACAATTACAATGTACCACATAACTCCTTATGGCATATATCCAATGTTGATGCTGTTGCATAAGCCAAAGACTGTCTGCCACACTGCTGAATCTGGGTGGGTGAGAAAGCATGTGAGCTTGAGGCTTGTTCCAGAACGCAGAATACCATATCAGGGAGTGTACTGATAGAACGAGGGGTGATGGTTTTAAACTGAATGAAGGGAGATTTAGATTAGATACTAGGAACAAATTCTTTACTGTGAGGGTGGCGAGACACTGGCCCAGGTTGCCAGAGAAGCTGTGGATGCCCTGTCCCTGGAGGTGTTCAAGGCCAGGCTGGACGGGGCTTTGAGCAGCCTGGTCTAGTGGGCGGTGTCTCTGCCCATGGCAGCGGGGCTGGACTGGATGGTCTTTAATGTTCCTTCCAGCCCAATCACTGTTCTGTGATTCTATGTATGTACTATGGTACTTCTGCTAGCTTCTCAGAATTGTATGATATAGTAATGAATAATATGCAGGATAAAGGCTGTGTGTTTAGAATCAGGAATATAAGCCAAATACTCTTCTACAATATTTTGTTTCTTCTGGCAGCAGGTTCTGTCTCTCGGGTGTACAAGTACTGTACAGGTGTATTACAAATCCTGGTGATTTCCTTCCAGATACCTGGAACTTGCTAGCTTTCTCTGTCTCCCAGACATTTGGCTTACACTGCTCTAGTCTTTTGAGCTGTGTTGCTGTCACCTATGGATGTTGAAGTTCCTTTTCTAGAGAGAGGAGGGTAGTGGGTGCAATTTCAGATCCACATCACCCAAGTCACATAGTCTTTTCATCTTGTCCAGACGGGTTTCTTTCAGGGGTCTTGGACTTTGGTAGACATTATAGGCCCTGAGGAGGGAGGAGGTGCCTTTCCCTAAACATGGTTTCTTTTAGCAGAGCTTTTGTGGTTGATTGAAGTTGAAATGACTGAGAACAGCTCATAAAAGCAGTAGTCAAAAAACCTTTAAAAACGGTTAAGAACCAACACCCCCATCCTCCAAATTTACTCATTCAATGTGACATCTTGTTTATGGAGAGATATGTGTCCTCTCCTTCCCAGGCTGCCAAGGAAGGGCACAGATAGTCTGCACTTGTGCTCTCTAGATTGCCAGTACTTATTTACATAGAATTTCTGGAAGCGTGGTGGTAGAATTTAGGTTTAACATGTTAGGTAAACCAGAGTGTCATTCAGCTGCAATTCTAGATTTCTGGAAGCGTGGTGGTAGAATTTAGGTTTAACATGTTAGGTAAACCAGAGTGTCATTCAGCTGCAAACACAGTTACATAAAGTTACTAGATTTAAAAAAAAACAAACAACAAGAGCACATTTCTGTAGTGTTGTGTTCCTTCGTAGCAGAATTTGATAATTATCCTCTTTACATATTTCTGAATTGCCCAGTTTATCACTGTACAACCCAGCATTCAAGAATATCATCTGAGATTTTGGTGAGGAGGACCGTCCTTTGCCTGTTCAGTTGTGAGCTTGTATATGTAAGCCCCGATTCTGAACATTTAAAAGCTGTAAACTGTCTCTGTAACCTCAACCAAATGTCACTACCTCCCAGCTTGCATGCTGCTACTCAGCATGTGAGTTTTCAGTTTCTTATTCGTTATGCTTTGTAAAGCTGTACTTCTCGAGTTTGCCTTAAGTGTTTCATGCTTTCAGGCCCACAAAAAGTCAGGTTCACTGAAAGTTTTCAGTTCTATAAAGTGGAATACAGCTTTTCAGCCTCATGGATTTTGTTGGGGTTTTTTGGTCTTGTTTTTTTTGTGGGTGAGCTTTGGAGATAAGGGTATATAACACTAAAAAACTTTTATTTTTTATTTCAGGACTCTTTGACAGCCCTCCAGGATCTGATGATGCAAAGCTCATTGACATATTCTACCCAGGAGACCAGCAGTCTGTAACATTTGGAACCAAGTCCCGTGTGGGAATGGGAGGCATGGAAGCCAAGGTATAAATAGGGAACATTTGTTTTATTATTGGGAAGGAAAAGGAGATGTTGGAAAGGGAGATAGACGAGATGATTGTGCTGCCATTCAGATGGATCTTGACAGGTTGCAGAAATGGGCAGACAGGAACTTTGTGGAGTTCAGTAATGGGAAATGCTGAGTCCTACCCCTAAGGAGGAACAACTCCATTCACCATTGTGGTCTCCTGAGTTGACTGGCTGGAAGGCAGGTTCACTGAAAAAAGGACATTTGGGTCCTGGTAGACACCAAGTGGGAACATGAGCCAGAAATAGGCCCTTTGGGCAAAGCAGGCCAACGGCCTCCTGGGTTGCGTTAGAAGGAACATAGCCTGCAGGTTGAGGGAAATTATTATTTCCCTCTACTCAGCACTGGTGAGACAACATCTGTAGAGTTGTGTCTGGTCCTGGGCACCACAGTACAAGAAGGACATGGCATCCTACAGTGAATCCACTGGAGAGCCATGAGTATGATTAAAGAATCAGAGCATCTGTCACACTAGAAGAGGCCAAGCGCTAGGACTGTCTACCCTGGTAGGGAGAAGAGAGGGTGTCCGTATAAATACTTGAAGGGAGGGTATAGAAAAGACAGAGCCAGACTCTTCTCAGTGGTATCCGGGGAACAGACAAGACACAATGGGCACAGGCTGAAATACAAGAAATTAAATTGAAGTGTGAGAATTTTACAGTGAGGTTGATGAAGCACTGGAGCAGGTTGCCCAGAGCTTGTGGAATCTCCGTGTTTGGAGGTGTTCAAAACTGGACTGGATGGTGTCTTGAGTAACTTGCTGTAGTTGACCCTGCTTTGAGCAGGTGGTTGGACTGTATCTGAATCTCCGGAGATCAGGATCTGTACTGGATCCGTATCTCCAGAGATCCTTTTCAGCCTCAGCTACTTTGGAGTACCCTGGGTTCCTTCAGTTTGTCTCTAAGGTCCATGGGAATTGAAAAGTGCAACTAATGAAGTACATTCCAGTAGTTTGAAAAATGTGACATTTGGAACTGTATTACGTTGGTGTTTTAAATTAAGATAAGAGTCAGTCCTCGGTTCTTTCTTACGTGATAATCCAAAGACTTTGGGAATCCCTGTGACTTGAATCTGATACGATACCTCTCTCTCCTTTCTGGCTTTGTACATACACCGTGTGCTTCTGAAGGTTGTACTGGTGGTGACCAAGGCACTTTTGTTCTTGAGTACAAGATTAGTGGGAGTAGGAGGGCAGATGGTTTCCAGTGCCGTGTACAGTTAGACACCCTCAGTGAGTCCATACACGTGGCTGTAGTATGAGACTTCAGCATATCTTTCTTATGGTGCTAGGATATGTGCTGCAATAGTGTTAATTGGTGTGGACCCTTCTGGAAGGTTGTCTGTAAAAAAGGAAGCAGATTTTGACTAAGCAGGGAAAGACCAAAGTGAAATTCTTCACCAGTCATCTTATGTATTATTTCCTTTTCTGAAGAATCAAGTAAGGCATACTTCAGTACCAAAGCACGGACTGGAAGGTGGCAAAAGGAGGAGGCATTTGAGTGTAACGACTTTGTAATGAGGGCATGTACAGAGCTTATTTAGAAACAACTTTCCCTTGAAACACCTATTCTGGAATAGATTAAACAGTTCCAGGTGTTGAGAGGAAAGCTGCCAAAGTCAGAGAATACTTGTACTGTAAAAATAGTAATTTGTTACAGATATTTGGTATCTTTAATTCTGTCACATAGAGGCAAATCTCAATGCTGCTGTTGTAGCAAAAATGTGTTAAATTTGAGAATTGGCTGATGTTTTTGGAAAACTGTAACATGAATAATGGAATAAACAGGGTAGCTCAAAGTGCAAATCTTTATTATCAGCATGAAACCTGAGCAAAAATAGAGCAGTTGATGGCCTTGTGGTAGTCAAGAGTTTGATTTGATAAGCACGTTTGACAGATGGTGTGTCCTGGTGAATATGGGCTGTAATACCTAATTGTAGAACCATGTTAGAAAAGTATGGAAGTGAGTAAGCAGAGAAGCTTTTGCAGTAAAATAAATGACACATAACTAAATATAGAGGTGGTATAATGCTGCCCATACCTTGATTGAGAAAATAAACTAAGGAGACCACAGGCAGTACCTCTTCAGCAAGTAACATCTGGAATTTGGGTTTGTGTTTTTGTATTTTTACATGAACCAGTGAAATGTTGAAGGGGGGGGAAATTTTACAGAAATCATGTTGTAATGCCTTAAACAGTGGCTCAAGTGTGTGGAAAGAGGTTAATGGTTAATCTTAGGACTAATCAGTATATGGGGATTTCAGGGGATCTTTATTAATAAGCTGACTATGCTGTAGGCTTAACATTCTGTAGAAGGGCTAAGGAAACTTCACTATGCCAATACTGAAGTTCAGAAAGGGAACTCACGTTGCCCTTCATGTTAGGGCAATGCCTACAAAGATACAGCCCCTACATTTCATAGAGCTCTTTTGCTGATCACAGAATCACATGGGGTTGGAAGGGTCCAACCCCCCTGCCAGAGCAGGTTGCACAGGAACTTATCCAGGTGGGTTTTGAATGTCTCCAGAGAAGGAGAGTCCACCACCTCCCTGGGCAGCCTCTTCCAGGGCTCTGCCACCCTCAAAGTAAAGAAGTTCCTCCTCATGTTTAGGTGGAACTTCTTATGTTCAAGTTTGTGCCCGCTTCCTCTTGTCTTATCCCTTGGCACCACTGAAAAAAGACTGGCCCCACCCTCTTGACACCCACCCTTTAAGTATTTACAATGATCATGGTGCCTGCCTCCCCACCTGCCCTCCATGACAGCTTTTGGCACACAAGTGACCTGGTATTATCACTGACTTCAGTTCCCAGTCTGTGGACATCAGATTGTTCTTGTTTCAGACTTGCTTCTTGCCTTAGATCTTGTGTGTGTTGCTTTTATACATTGCTGCAGTCCTGACCTTTGAAGATAACTCCTAAATGCTATATTTACAGAATCGTCCTCCAAAATAACAACAAAAAGGGGAAAGAATACCAAATAAAAATCATATAATTCAAAATAGAAGAAGCGTAGAGTCTTCAAATAGACCCTACTGAATGAAACAACTCTTAAGACAATAGGTGTTCTCCCAAGCAAAAAGTAGAAGCAAATAAATAAGAAATCCGATGAGAACATGACCAGGAAATGTGAACAAAGCAGGTAAAAGCTTTGTGTGGAAACCCGAGTCTCCTTCAGAAAATTTCATAGCTTCACCAAAGGGTTATATACAATGAGAATACCTCTGCATCTTAAACAGCCCCACGAGGAGTGCTTTGGCTGATCAAATTTTAAGGGAGTAATTCAGACAGCTAAAGGTATTAAATAATATTTTAATGGTATATGGTAATGGTTAGGACCTGAACAAGAACAGTGCTCCGCAGTACAAGTAATATCACATGGTCACTTAAAGTGGATTAATTATTGATGGTTGGTTAATGTCATGGAAATTGGCAACAGAATCTTTAAAAAAATGAAAACTGGGTTTCTTCAAACAATAAGAAGAACTTGTAACATAAGGTAATGATGAAAAAGAACATAGGACAAAACACAGGACCTTGCTGAAGTCCTGAATAAAGCAGGCTGTTAGGAAAATTTGAAGTATGCTTATAAAGTGGCAGCTAGTTAAGGAAGGGGAGGTAAAATGCAAATACGTGATCTCATTCAGTGCTACATTATGGAAATTCCGGAAGTGTGTTGAATGCTCTTTAAAAGCATAAGCGGTTGATCTGGAGATCAAAGTGGAGCAAGAAGTCTGGTTGAGAGTGGTGATTCAAATAACAAGTGAGTTTCCTGGAACTGCCTCTATCCTTCCCCATAGGTGAAAGCAGCTCTGTGGGCCCTCCAAGGAGGCACCTCTGTAGTGATCGCAAATGGAACCCATCCAAAGATCTCGGGTCATGTCATTACAGATATTGTGGAAGGGAAAAAAGTTGGAACTTTTTTTTCAGAGGTAAAACCTGCAGGTGAGTACAGAAGGAATGTGTACATGGAGACTTGTAGAGATTTCCTGAAAGGTTAAAATTAAAATTTGGCTAGACCTGTACAATAACTGGGATACCATACTCCGCTTGAAAAATGGATTTTGAAAGATATTTTCTAAAGTAGGAGTAGAAAATACTGAATCCTCTGCTCTGGTTCCCTCCAGCTGATAAACTGCTGCATCAGACTTACATTTGAGGAATGCAATAAGTAGAATTTTTACTACTTTTAGTCTAGTATTGACAATTTCACTGTGAAAACGTGGATGTTGAATGTGTTGCTGAAAAGTAAGATAGTGTTTATTTTTATTTCTTACCATAAATTCCTTTTATGACTTGGTCTTCTGGTATGATAGGTAGGAATGTTTTCCTGCTACTGCATTGCTGGGATGGCGTAGCCATCACTGGAGAAAGTCGGACCAAAGTTCTGTGACCTTATTAGCAGGATAGGACAAGTATGGCGTGGTGTTTTTGACTTGCGCTTTAAGCCAAGCGAATTTCTTTGCATATAATAATCTTCAGTGCATTTCTTGTATTAATTTGTCAGATTATCCTTTGAAGCCATGTAAAGACTTAGCATCCACAGGGCTCTGTGTCACAATAGTCAAGAGCCTGAACTAGATACTGTGTAAACTCTGGAGCTAGAATTATGTGAAGAACTGCTTGCTCTAATTTGGGGTTGGGGGAGGTTTTGAATTTTCTTCCTGATAACTTCATTTGATGCCTCTGCTGCTTGTATGGGTGATCAACTCCTGTTCAACTTCAACGATGTGAGGCATCATCTTTCCTGTCATCATCTCTTCCACTTGAAAGAGGTTTGGTCTTAGACATTTTGTACTGAAAATATTCCAAAAACTAGTTCGTCCTCATTTCTCTTGTTTAAAACTGTTTTCATTCTGTTGTGGCCTTTTTGAGATGGGCAAACCCCCAAATTTCACATTGTGTTCAAGATACAAATGAAGGTTTAATACATAAGATCATCCTCATGGTGCAAAAGTGCTTCTGAATGGGAGGCACCTCCTGTGTTTCAGTTTGTGTCCATCGTTTCTTGCCACTGAAAAAAACCCTGTCTCCATCTTCTTTAGGTCCTCCTTCAGGCATTTGTACCTACTGATGAGATTCCCCCTGAGCCACCTTCTCCAGGCTGAACAGTCCCAGGTCTTTCAGCCTTTCCTTGTATGAGAGATGCTCCAGTCCCTTCATTGCCTTTGTGGCCCATCCTTGGACTCTGTCCGCAGTGTCCATGTCTCTCTCATACTGGGGAGCTGAGAATTGGGCACAACACGCCAGGGGTGACCTCACCAGTGCTGAGTAGAGAGGAAAGACCACCTCCCTTGACCTGCTGGCCGCCTTCCTCCCAAGGCAGCCACCTTTGCGGCAAGGGCATGCTGCTGCAACTTGGTGTCCACCAGGACCCCCGCGTCCTCCTCTGAAAGCTGCTTTCTAGGAAAAAGTTGACACAAAATATTGACGCTTTCCAAATAGTCCCACTAGAATAAATTTGTATCAGCAGAAAAGCTTTTCATCATGTCACCCCATTCTGAGTCACTTACAAATATGGCAAACGGCAAAAGTCCCTGTGAAATTTTACTGGCACTCTTCTGCTATTGTGGAATGCAGTCCTCTTTTTTGTCTGTTATCTTCCAAAGAGTAAAATTTTGAAATTCAATAAACTTTTAAAAATCAACTGTATCTGTTTACATACATGTCACTTTTCTCAAAGAACCCCAAAACATACCATACTTCATAAAATATGACTTCACTTCAAAAAGCTGTTTTAACACTTCTTAAATAAGTTTAATTAATCACACGTCCACAGATTCTTTTCTTACGCTTCCTACAACACCTTTTGATATTTTCCATAATATTGGAATTCCTGCTCTGGCAATTTAATACAAGTCGGTCATATTTATCACCTTCAAGTGATAATTTTGAAATAGAAACAGAAATAACCTATTCTACATCATTTCAATTTGAGAGAGATTATTTGAGGTCCTGCCAGAAAAGAATTAAAAAATCCACCTTTCTTTTATAGGAACCCTTTAAAAATGCACATGGGGAGGGACAGAAGGGAGGCAATTCTGTAAGCTGTTACTCAGATGGGGTTTTGGCTTCCATCATTGTTTGTACAGTCTCATACTATTTTGTAAACCTTTCTGTTTTCCTCAGTTGGTTACTTAAACTTCTTGAAGTTTGTGTCATTTCTTTTGGTTGGCTGCTGTGTCCTGAGACAGCTATCCTGGTGTTCTGCCCTTTGTCAGGTCTGTGCGGTACATGGTGCAGCACGCTTGCCTCTGAGATGATGACAGTACAGAATCTCTGTGATAACTCTTTACGTTTGGGGACCATAGCAGTGTTTTTGTGTCAGATACAGATTTTCCAGTTCTAGCATACAACAGATTTCTTGAATACGCCTGTTTAAGGCTCTGTACCTCCTTTCCTGATTTGAGCAAAGAACCAGAAGATGGAAGGGCTATTGTTCACTTCCACATGTGCTGTTACTTTGTCTGTATAACATATTTTTTGATTTTTTGCAGGTCCTACAGTAGAGCAGCAGGGTGAAATGGCTCGAGCTGGTGGCAGAACCCTGGCGGCTCTACAGCCTGAGCAGGTGACAGAACAATATAGCCTCACTTATTAAGCTTGTGAATGTGTGGCAAATTTTACAATACGGATTTATGGCAGAAATGGACCCCTTGGGACAAGAAACTATTCTTTGTGTGCCAGATTCATCATTCGGATTGTAGAATGCTTAGAGAGATGAGAAAAGCAGAAAGATGGTGTACCTTGGAGCTATGAAGTAATATATGCTTTCATGTGAGGTTTATAAACATTTTAATAGTGTCAAATATCACACAGAAATGAATTCAGAGCTGCTGAAGAATTTCCTGGAATACCATGCTCCATTCAGTCCTGTGTGTCGTGTATGCAAAAGAGGAGCTGTAGACAATCAATTACTGCTTTGCAGCTGGGTAGGTAAAATGTGGCATCTGTTGTGAGGAAGACAAGGTGGTCTTAAAGGAAGAACTTTGTGATGAAGAAGACTGGGCGTGGAAAGCAAGATAATAAAAAGTAAAGTAAAGGTTGAAGCAGTGCTCCGTGTTCAGCTCATTTTTCAATGTGATGCAGGCTGGAAAATTCAGCTGGCCCCAAGTATTTGAGGAGCCAAGACAGTGAGAGAGTGTGATCAACATAAATGGACTGAAGGGGACCAGATGTCAAATAGCATGGGCTTTGTGTAGGAAGTCAGTTCAGAAACTGTTTTCTCTTTCAGAGAGCAGAGATTATTTATCGCCTTGCTGACTTACTAACTGACCAGAGGGAAGAAATTCTCTTGGCAAACAAAAAGGACTTAGAAGAGGCTGAAAGTAAAGGTAAATGTTTCAAGTCCTTCCATGGTAATCCTGTTGTCTTGAACCTCTCTAGGCTTCAGAGGAAATGAGCAGAACTAGAATCTTCTGTCACCTGGGGTTGGGTCTTGTGGCTGTCACATATTAGTGAATGCAGGACCTTGAGAACTTGTCATTTTAAATAGCTGCAGCTTCCTTAATTACATAAACTAGGTGCCTGCATCAGAGAAGATACCGAGGCCTTGTGAAACACCGAGCAGTGTATTGTAAAAGAATAAAAAAAAAATATATTTAGTGCTCCATTTTGCCAAAGGAGGCTCACTTTACAAGTGGAATATAACAAACATAATCTGTTGTTGTCATGCATAAAGTGAGTATTTTCTGGGCTGGTTAAGATAGTGCTTGGCTCCTGAGGGCAAGTCTGTCATCTCTATACTTAAATTGTTCCTCTCCAGAAAGAACCTTGTCCCCATCTGATTGAGGGAGGTGTTCTTTAGGTGGCTTGGATTAAACCCATTCTTCTACGTTAGATTGATGCATTCATTGAGAAGTTGGGATTGGGATGTGTACGTAGAGGGATAGCAAATGTATGAACATGACACATCACGAATTGTAATACCTTGTGGAAGACACCAGGGAACCCTTTTTTAACTTGACCAGAGTACTTGAGGGTGCATTTCTGGGTTATCTTACTGTTGAAAGTATTCAGACTAGAAAATTCAGGCAGCTCTTGCTCATTTTTTCTTGAGCAGAAATGCTATGTGTGCCTCTGTGCTTTGGGACTTCTATCTGTAAAACAAAGATGAAGTTACTGACTGAACCTTCTAGAAATACTGCAAGGGTAGAAATGTGTAAGAAATTCAATTGTGTAGCAGTGCTTGAAATAGGACAAACCTTATCTTTGTGGATGTTGACGTTGCTTCATGTACAAATCACTTAAACCACATAAAGTGGAAATGTGGTGGTATGTAAAAAATCATTGTCACATTTGAGTGATTTTATTGTGGCTGCTGGACTAAATGATTTGTGTTTTTCATCTCAGGTAGCTTTCTTGCTAGGATGCGGGAAATATCTGAATTTTCCTTAGGTTCACCACTTTGGTCGCTTTTGCTTGAGCCTAGACAGACCAATCTATCTCCAGCATGACTTTTTTCTTTCTTTTAGGGAGATTGGCACTTCCTTTGTTGAAGCGTCTAAGTCTGTCTACATCAAAGCTGAACAGCTTGGCTATTGGTCTGCGTCAGATTGCAGCATCCTCACAGGACAGTGTTGGTCGTGTAATTCGGCGAACACGGATAGCAAAAGACCTGGATTTGGAGCAGGTGACAGTGCCTATCGGTGTCCTCCTTGTGATCTTTGAGTCCCGTCCTGACTGTCTTCCGCAGGTATGTAAGGAGGGCAGATTATACTGTTGGGAATTCTTTGATGACAAAAGAGAGAGTGTTTCTGTTGGTGAGCAATTGGGAGGCTGCAAGAAGTCTTGTCTCAAAGGACTCTTGTTTCGATTCTTCTAAGATCAATTTTGTTGGCATCCCTATTTTTCCTGCAGAGATATTCTCAAGACTTGCTTCAGCAATGTTCAGTTATTCAGGCTTGGGTTTTTTTTGGTTTCTTGGTTTTTTTTACCCACCCTGACATACAGAAGGAGTTATCATCTTACATTCAGATGGTGCAGTTCTTGCATGTGTCTTACAACTCTGTGTTCAGTGCCTGACTCACGGCTTGGGAGGCTCTGCCAATGAGCACTTGTTTTATCTGTCTGTGCTGCCTACAGTGAACTGCAGGCTGGGGTTAAACAGCAACTGTTTAATACAGATGCTAGTAATTAACTGTAACTGTTAGGAATACATGATAAAAAAATATTAAGAAATGCTAAGTACAGAAAGCACAGAAGTTCCAGCTTTGAGTGGTCTGTCCTGTACTGATGCTGCTTCTGTACAGTGGGGTGGAATGATAGCTTTAACTCAGTTGTAGCGAAATGGGTGTGAGGAAGAATGGCATTTCTAAGTCTTGAAGTACTCAAGTTACTGGAAAGGAGACTGAAAATCTCAAATAGTGTACTGTAAGTGAATGTCATTTATCTTGTGCCAGGAATAAGGCAGGTGTCTTAAAGGCAAATACCTTTATCTGCAGTGCTGCGTTGGGAGTATTGCTGTGGGTAAATGCTGTTATAATGCATGAAAATATGGGGGCTGAATTAATGTTGCAGAGGCAACCTCGATCTTAGTTTCAAACTCCCCACTACTGAGCAACTGTAGTAGATTTTAAAAAGAAAACAAAAAATCCCTTAATTATCAACACATTTGCCGCAGTTAGCATCAGGGCTCTAGGAAGTTTGATTGAGGAGTTCTCTAATATATGAGCAGGTGTTTGAGGAAAAAGTGGTGGGTACAGGCACTTTAAAAAGGAAGTGAGACATGACCAGTGAATAGCTTGGTACTTCATGCCTGAATTTTGTGAGTGGTCCCCAGTTCATACTGAAATGGAGTATGCTTCAGGCAAAGTTCCCATGAAACTCCCTTGTCTACCATTGTTAGCTCCTTGCTGCTAAGTCTGTTCTTCATAAATAACCACTATGTTTCCTTGATGAATTCTAGTTTGTCTTCCCGGACTTCTATTCTGGTCTCTTGCCTTGCATAGTTGATGTCTCCCTCTTTCTCCTCCCCTTTATTTTATCTTAAAACTTACACCATATTAACTTCTGCTGTCTGACATACTCCTGGATAGAAAAGAACCAAAAACTGAAAGAAACAATAAAGTAACTGCCACCACCCCTCTGTTACAGAGGTTTTCAGTTTAGTGGGGAAAACAATAAGAACAAGTGTCTGGAAACTGAACAAATTTGGTGTATGTTTTCAACAGCATAAGTCATTTTTTATCTAACTTCCAAAAAGCAATGGCTTCTTTGGAGCATTTTTTTAAAATATGGTCTAGTTGTGTTGCCAAACTTAAATCATGAAATCTGGCACCTTAAACAGAAAAGCAACAATATCAGTCTCTTCCTTCTGGTTGTAAACATGAAAGCAAAGTGTTGGAGGTGATGCTTGGCTTATTGTCTAGAAGGCCTTTCCCACGCTTAGGGCAAGTGTTGTCTATTTATGATTTCGGTTTTAGACAGCACAATGAAAGTGTTCCTCCTGCTCATAGGAAGAACTCATTAGCCCCTTTCTGACAGAGTGGTTAGAGACGAGAGTTCTTGCACCAAAACTTATCTTGCCTAGGGTGATGGCCCACACAGCTACCCAATTCATACCAGAGCTTATGCCCAGGGTTTCCTCTGCAGTCTTCCCCTGGCACTAGTACCCTGAAAACTCAAGTTTGTTCTTGAAACACTAAAATATTTAATTTCTGGAGTTAAATGGGCTGTTACTTGTAATGACTTTTTTATGCAATTAAGTGATAACTAGATTAACATTGAGTAAATGAATAGGTTTTAAAATCCTGTTCTTAGTCTATTTTGTGGGTGTTGTTCCTACAGAAGAGACAGATTACTTTTCTCCCTTTTATTTTTTTTTTTTTTCCCCCTTAAATAATTTCTTTTCTGACAGGTGTCTGCTTTGGCCATAGCCACTGGAAATGGCTTGCTACTTAAAGGAGGGAAAGAGGCAGCACATAGCAATCAAATTCTTCATCATCTGACACAAGAAGCGCTCTCCATTCATGGAGTCAAAGACGCGGTACAACTAGTAAGTGCCTAGTATTAAATCAACAGTTCTTTGCTCTGGTGTGTATAAAAGGTATGGGTAGAACTCGAGAGTTTAAACATAGACGGTTTTGTAACTATCACAGGTGAACACAAGAGAAGAAGTAGAAGATCTTTGCCGTTTGGATAAGCTGATAGATCTTATCATTCCACGTGGTTCATCGCAGCTGGTCAGAAATATCCAGAAGGCTGCTAAAGGAATCCCAGTGATGGGACACAGCGAAGGGATCTGTCATGTGTATGTGGATACCGATGCCAGCGTTGAGAAGGTCACGCGAATAAGTAAGCTGGGAGAGGGTGATTTGAATTTCATGGGTGTAACTGAGCTTCATATTTGGAGTATGTGATATGATTATCATAATTGATAATTCATGTGCTGTTGAAAATCTTTGTCATATCTGTTAAGTAACCAGTTATCTACTCTTAAACCTCAGTCAGAGACTCAAAGTGTGAATATCCTGCTGCCTGTAATGCTCTGGAAACTCTGTTAATTCATCGAGACTTGCTGAGAACCCCGTTGTTTGATCAGATCATAGACATGCTGAGAGTAGAACAGGTTAGTCATTCATACTTCTGTTTTGTGGCTGGTTTTTTTCCTAACACTTTAGAAGCATTTGGTCTGGCTGGTGTAGCCCTGTTTAGTTTTATGATGGCATAGCACAAGTTATCCATATGTCTCTTTGTACATGTAAATGAACTTATGGAGAACTTTCTTTGCTTCTCCACATAACCCCACCTTTTTCCTGTAGAAATGTTCTGAAAGCAGCTTCTTCAGGACAGCTACGTGCCATTTTTGGGATACAAATACTACTTTTATATAGAAAAAACCCCCATATTCTGCCTTAGAAGAGCATAGATAAAACTCTTTCTCTACCCTTCTTGATTCTGACTTAATTGCTGTTAACCTCTCAGATAGAAAGCCTCTTCTTCTTGGATCTATTAGTTTATCTTCTTATGCAAGTGAATTCCCTTTCAGCTTTCCTCCTTTCTGAATTTTTCATCCACATTTTTTAAGACGTTTCATCTTGTATGCCCTTAATACCCAGGTATTTTCTCTTCTAGCATGTCGAAGGAACAGTGAAATGCCAGTATACTAATTAGTTGCTTTGACATGGGTAATATTTTGTTGGTAAAGGTAGCAGAGATGCATTGGGAGAGAAATATCAATGAAGTAGTGTGGATTGCACATAAACTGAGGACTTCCACACAGCAGTATGTATTTGGCAAGTAGAGTGTACAGGCAGTGATTTAGTGCAGGTAAAATAGAGAGGCCGTATATGTTGATGTTGAAGAGGTCATAGTAAAAGAATAGATAGTCGGGAGCAAGTCCTCACTTAATGGATTTTTTTCACGTCTTGTTTGGTTGTTTCTTGAGAAGGGCAGAGCGAAAGGTAGATCTCTGGATTTTGGATGGAAGGAGTGTGAGGACTAGTGCATTTCCAGCACCACCCTCCCAGCTCCTAATACAGTGGGGAGGATGTTACCTCTGTCTAATCTGACCTAACAACAGGAAACATGCAAATACTTGGCAGGATTATGCAAATAAATAACTTACAGTTGCACAAGAAAATGTCATTTTACCTTCTTAAAAGCCTTCAAATTTCGGAACTCGTGCCTTATTACCCATTTATGTTTGTCCTGTCAAAATTTTTTGTGTTTCATTTGCATGGGGATTTCTCTGCTGTATCACATCTAATTGTTTAATTCTCAGTTCTAATCAGTTCTAATCTCTCATCGTTTAGGTGTCTTGGCTGCTACGATTCAACTCAGAGGTTGATAATGTGTTAGGTCATCTTTATAACAGATGAAAAATGTCTGTGTGAGTTTTGTGTCTGAAACATGTGCCTCAAAGAGAGATGGTGTCAGTTTACAAAATTAAAGGGTAAAAGCTATTCAAGATCTTAAGTCTTTTGGCTTAAGGGCCGGCTGCAAGATTTTAGCTGTTTTCCCAGTATGAATGTTGTACTGTCCTCCTGCCTGGTGACTTTCTAAGAGATGCCATTACTTTACATAATTTGAAATGTGTCCTGAACTAGGAGTATTTCATGGTAGGTATGTCAGCTAGCATGTCAGCTGTTGTACCTTGTCTTTAGGTCACCGATCTGCTAAGTTTCCTGAAGTATAGGGTTATTTTTCTTATGCTGCATGAACATTTGATTCACAGATGCTGTGGGTTAACCCCAGTCAGCATCTGAGTACTGTCCAGCTGCTTTGCTCGCTCTCCTCTGTCCCAAGCAGGGCCGAGGGGAGAATAAGAGGAGCAAAAGCAGAGAACCTTGTGGGATGAAAGAAAGGTAGTTTGATAAGCGAAGGAAAGAGGAAGAAAAGAGAAAAGAAAGGAAGAAACACCCACAAACAAATCTGACCACACAAAAAAACAACCCCCCAAAACCCACTCAAATGCGGCAAAGCTAATTACTCACCATCTGCCACAAGTAAAGCAACACCCAGGCAATCTCTGAGCAATGCCTCCCCTCTTCAAAAAACCCCTCCCCTCAGTTTGCATTGTTGTGCATGGCATTACATGGCATGGAATATCCCTCTGGTCAGTTTGGGTCACCTGCTGTCGGTTGCTCCCCCTCTGAGCCGTCTCGCTGGGGGGACAGAGTGGGAGAGAAAGAGAAAGCCTTGACGCTGTGTGAGTTTTGTTGAGCAACAGCCAAAACATTGGTGTGTTTTCAGCACTGTTTGAATCACAGGTCCAAAACATAGCACCACAGGGACTGCTATGAAGAATATCAACACCATCACACACAAAGTACAAGAAGCCACACTTTCCCCTGGAAGGCATCAGTATGGTCAGCAGCATAACGTGTTTCTGATATTGCAGGTGAAGATTCACGCTGGCCCGAAGTTTGCATCTTATTTGACATTCAGCCCTTCAGAAGTGAAATCTCTCCGCACAGAATACGGGGACCTGGAGTGCTGCATTGAGGTGGTGGACAGTGTCCAAGAGGCTGTTGAACATATCCACAAGTATGGAAGTTCTCACACGGATGTTATCATCACAGAGAATGGTTAGTGATCGGTCTGCTTCCTTAAGCTACTGGTTTGATTTGACTTCCAGGTCCTGGTGTTCATTGTATTGCAGTAGTTACTCTTCTCTTGGGTCTGTAGTAGGCGTTAACCAGCTGGAGGCCTATGGGGTAAATGTGCCTGTAGTCCTGTTTAGCTCAAAGAAAACATGTTGTGTGGCCTTTTATTCCATGGTGTTAAGGAATGTGCTTGAGCAATTGGCCAATAGCAAGTCAGCACGTGCTGTTACCAGCCAACTTCCTTTGTGTTCCTGTGTTGGGCAGACTTACCACATTAGAGGGTTGTGCAGAAACATCTCCTGCATCCTGGAGATGTCCTTAGGCCTCTGAAGGCCGATGAGGTGAGGTTCTGTAGTACCTACCTCATTGGAGGGAATAGGGACTGTAGGGAAGATCATACTTGATCCACTTTGTTTTCCTGTGTCATTTTTATATCTTGCAAACAAAGACCACAAATGGTTTTCCCCTACCTCTCCCAGTCCTTTACTTCCCACTTCTGCATCCCTAGTATAAAAGCTGCATTTTTCTCAATTGGCAGTTACTTGCCTCTTTGCTGTGAACTTGTGCTTCTTTGTGCAGCTCCCGCCTGTGGTTTGAACACACCTTCGGCTCACAGCCTGGCTGGAGCTGTGCCCAGCCTAATTAAACCTAACTAAAGCTGCGTCCAGGCCAAGGCTGACTCTCAGACCCAGCCTGGAACTCCTGAGGATCAGCCTCAGTGAGGTCGTGTTGATGTGCAGCTGACTGAGTTGAGCACACTTCTGTTTCTGTACCACCTGCTGAGCTTAAATGAGTGTCACTTAAAGGCACGTGTTCGGTACTGTAACCCACTGCCACAGGACCTGTTGCAGTAGCAAATTGCTAGGGTGTGTGCTGGAAACAGAACTGATCTTTAGTGTTTGTCTGGTTGCTGAGGGTGACTGACCTGCAGCTCACAGCCTTGCGGAGAATGGGGTTCTCCAGAGTACTAAGGCTTGCATCACACTGCTTGAGCTTCCTCAGGTTTTGCATGTTCTGCATTAAACTGGGTTAGTTAGCTGATTTCATGTGGTATTTCTGCATAGTATTTCCCAAATATTGCCTGCAATAGCAATTTAGTTTAGAATTTTTCATTATCTAGAACAATTCCATGTTTAAGACTAATGGAGAGCTAACTCTGTAGCTTTAACTGTCTCAGCCTGACTGCAAAATAATGTTTGGGGAAGCTGTTCTTTCTTCCCAGTCATGCAACTATCCCTGTTCGCAGGTTCTAGACTGAGTGTATTTAGAATTGGAAATCTTTTTGCTTGTAGCATTTGCATCTGAGTCTGCTTCATCAGCACACTGGGAAGAAGGTATAAATGAACATGCCTTAGCCCAGGCTGTTTAAACACTGATAAGGTTGCACATGAAAGTTGTATTGTTCTATCTGTTCACTGCGTTATGTTTATTGGAGTGCACGATTATTCTGTACATACTGGATTTTATTTTTCTCTCTGCCTCTTTCCCAGAGAAAACGGCAGAGTTCTTCCTCCAGCATGTGGACAGTGCTTGTGTTTTCTGGAATGCCAGTACCCGATTCTCTGATGGCTATAGATTTGGACTTGGTAAGAGAGAAAATACTGCAGGCATGTGATTTGCTCTTGCGGGGAAAGTGTGACGGTCTTAAACCGGGAAGATCAGATTAGTCTCTGATCTTACTGTCTAATATAAGGCTTTCAGGAAAGGTACTGTAGGAAAGATTGAAGCCTAGACATTTCATCCATGTGGAACAGCATAGTTAATTAACTCTTTCCTGCTGGAACTAGTCAATGCTGCTATATAGGCTATGTGGATTAATTTAGCAGGAGGGAGCAAAGATCTTTTGGATCCTTTGAAGCTCTATTTGATCAGAGTAAAGTATGTTGCCTTGCGTGTAGTGATAGAACACTGCAACACAGGACGTGAGACTGGTGATCAGTGTTTCTTTTGTTTATCTGTCTAATGGTGCTGTACCAGATGCCATGCTTCGTTCCTGCTGGGCAGACGGCTCTGTCTATCGTGCCAGCCCTGCAGTGTAGAGGAATGAAAGGCAGGAAACAAACTGAGTACCGGTTGCTTAAACAAACGGGTGCAACCTGCTGTGAATTGTAGAAGACAAGGGAAACATACTTTCCTGAGGCAGAAACACCGGAAATCTCTGTAGTAGGTTATTATTGTATCAGCTGGAACATTCAGTGTTCCATGTGGTTAAAAAATTCTAGTTAGGGTCTTGCAATATCTCCTCCAAATGGTACGAAAGGACATAAGATCAGAACCTTGACTAATTTAGTTTTTTTTTTTTTTTCTTTTTTAAAGGACTAAACCCTTAGGAAACAAGTCTAAGATCAATGTAAGAGATATCCATCTCTCTGGCATCTTTCTCTGTAAAAGTACCTCTGTAGCAGCCAGAAGTATAAACATTACAATTTATAATGTAATAGTTAAGCTCCTCTAACTTTTAAATTAGAGCAGGTAAACATAGCTTCTAGCATTTGGAGAGGAGCAGAGAAAGGCAGGTCGCTGAAAGGAAGGCAGCTGATTTTACAAAAAGGTGCAAAACTGCGTAGTATGAAGTGAACATGTTCTGAGGATTAACTGCCTTTATCTTGTGTGTTTCCTGCAGGTGCTGAAGTGGGAATTAGTACTTCTCGTATTCATGCACGTGGACCAGTGGGAATTGAAGGACTCTTAACTACGAAGTGGTTGCTGAGGGGGGACAATCATGTTGTTTCTGACTTCTCAGAGCACGGCAGCATGAAGTATCTTCATGAGAGCCTCCCTCTCCCTCAGAGAAATACCAGCTAAAAACATCGGAGCTGGGGGGAAACCCTGGGGTATGAGTATTTCCTGATGGTGTTCAGGCTTCAGGGTGCTCTCTGCAGAGGGAGTTTGTTTTTCATCTTCAGGAACATTGTTCTTGGTCACTGTGCAGCACAGTGAATACACAATGATCCCATCTCTGAGACTTTTGTTTTCCCTGCGTCTTTCCTTAGATAGTATCTGCAAACTGACCTCGCTTTTTCCAGAGACAGACTTCTTCAAAACGTACAGGTATCATAAGGAAAGATTTCAATGTCTGCTGCATTCCTTTTTTTCATCCAGATGCTCCCTATAGCAAATATGCTTGGTGCTGGAGCATTTTTTTTTTGTGTAAGTCTGTTTTATTTAAATATCTGCTCTGCAGAACAAACAATTGTTTGGGTTTTTTTTCTTCAGTTTTATGATCATGGCAGCTCTTGAAAGCTGGAAAGCTTTACACTTTCTTTGTATTTGATTACTCTTGTGATAAAGGGATAGATGTTCCAAATGCATAGTAAGCTTTTGACCAAGAAACCTTTTATATCTCATTGCTTTGTATTGTTGACTATTGTAGATAAATAACACAACTGTCTATTAAGTGAATTTTGTTACTTATTTGTATTGAAGGCTTGTTTTTCTTTGGTTTTATATAAAATTTAAGTTTCCACAACCCCTCCTCCGAAAGCAATGCTACTTCGACATTGGCTTTTCCTGACCAAAGCTGTGAAGAAGTGCTTTCCTCTGTGCCCTGCAGCACGATGCTGGGTGTGGCTCTGCCTTTGCTCAGCCCTGAGGCCACAGGCATGGCAGTGGGGCAGGTCCTGGAGCAGGATAGTGCTGCTGGGCATGCTGGCGCGTCGCAAGGAACAGATAGATGGAACAGATTTAAGGATATTTTGAATCTAGGACAATAACTGCAACCCTAAGAGAGTTACTGGCGAGCCGTTCCTGGGGAAGCAGGAAGCTCCAGGTGTTTGGAGGCCTCCCCAATTCCCCTCAGGGACCACAGGTGACTTTGTGAGTTTCCTCCACGCCTGCTTGCTCCACACAAGCCTGCACTTAGTCTCTGGTGCCCCACACAGAGCCATGCAGCATTGTTGGGGGGCTTGTTGCGAGGCAAAAACCCCTGTTCCGCATATTTTTGGTGCAGAGGCGATGGCTGTTGTTGCCCGGGCTGCAAGCGGGGACAGGGTGGAGAGCTGGAAGCTGTGCCCACCGGTAAGTGGTTACGGTGCCTGGGTGGAGGGAATCGGGCTGAGAGTGGTCACTGCTCGTTAATGTAATGAGGGCTCAAACGGGATAATTAAGGGATGCTGCCGCCCGGTGGCAAGGAGCCAGTACTGCAGCTGGGGAGCCGCGGGTGTGCAGTGAAAACACCCAGCTTCTGCTAGGCCCCGCCCCCGGGCGGTGCGTTGCGACGGTTCCGCAACGCGAGCGCGTGCGCGGTTCCTTGGAGGCCGGCCCGCCACCCGGAGCGGTTTCTGCGCTTTCTGCGGTTTCTGTGCGCGTGCCCACATAGTCCAATGTGCATGCGCGGCGTCTTTTTGTTTACTCTGCATGCACGAGACCACACTTCCCAATGCACATGCACGGCTTCAAAATGGCGAGCGCGCATGCGCATGACCACTCCTCCCAATACGCATGTGCGACTTCAAAATGGCGACCGCATGTGCCCACACTTCTCCAGGCGCATGCGCGGCTTCAAAATGGCGACTGCGCAAGCGCCTGCCCACACTGCCCAATACGCACGCGCGGCTTCAAAATGGCCGCGGCGCATGCGCGTTCCCACTCTACCGATACGCATGCGCGGATTCAAAATGGCGGCCGCGTGTGCCCACACTTCTTCAGGCGCATGCGCGGCTTCAAAATGGCGACTGCGCAAGCGCCTGCCCACACTGCCCAATACGCACGCGCGGCTTCAAAATGGCCGCGGCGCATGCGCGTTCCCACTCTACCGATACGCATGCGCGGATTCAAAATGGCGGCCGCGTGTGCCCACACTTCTTCAGGCGCATGCGCGGCTTCAAAATGGCGACTGCGCAAGCGCCTGCCCACACTGCCCAATACGCACGCGCGGCTTCAAAATGGCCGCGGCGCATGCGCGTTCCCACTCTACCGATACGCATGCGCGGATTCAAAATGGCGGCCGCGTGTGCCCACACTTCTTCAGGCGCATGCGCGGCTTCAAAATGGCGACCGCGCATGCGCTTGCCCACACTTCAAAATACGCATGCGCGGCTTTAAAATGGCGGCCGCGCATGCGCGTTTCCGCTCTATCAATACGCATGCGCGGATTCAAAATGGCGGCCGCGCATGCGCATTTCCGCTCTATCAATACGCATGCGCGGCTTCAAAATGGCGACCGCGCATGCGCTTGCCCACACTTCAAAATACGCATGCGCGGCTTTAAAATGGCGGCCGCGCATGCGCGTTTCCGCTCTATCAATACGCATGCGCGGCTTCAAAATGGCGGCCGCGAATGCGCGTTTCCACTTTTCCAATACGGATGCACGGCTTCATTCATGGTTTTGCAGGGGTTCGCAGGGGTCTGCAGGGGTAGACGGGGTCTGCATGGGTCCTCAGTGTTTTGAAAGGTAGTGCAGTGTTCTGCAGGTATCTGCAGGCTGCTGTACGGGTCTGCAAGGGTCCGTAGGAGTCTGCAGTGGTCTGCAGGGCTCTGTAAGTCGCTGTAGGTGTCTGCAGCGGTCTGCAGGGTTCTGAATGGGTCTGAAGTGGTCTGCAGGGGTCTGTAGGGTTCTGCAGGTGTTCGTAGGGGTCTGCAAAGGTCTGTAGGAATCTGCAGGAGTTCACAGGGTTCTGCAGTGGTCTGTAGGGGTCTGCAGGGTTCGGCAGGGTTCTGCAGGGATCTGTAGGTGTCTGCAGGGAGCTGTAGGGGTCTGCAGGTGTCTGCAGAGGTCTGTAGGGGTCTGTGGTAGTCTGCAGGGCTCTGCAGGGGTCTGCGGGTTCTGTAGGATCTGTAGGAGTCTTTATGGCTCTGTAGGGTTTCTTGGCATCTGCAGGGGTTTGTAGGTGTCTGCAGGGGTCTGGAGGAGTTTCTAGAGTTCTGCAGTGTTTCATAGGGTTCTGCAGGGGTTTGCAGGGGTATACAGGGGTCCTCAGGGGTCCTCTGTGTTCTGCAAGGTACTAAAGGGGCCTGCAGAGGTCTGCAGGGGTTCGTAGGGGTGTGCAGGGGTCTGCAGGGGTCTGTAGGGGTCTGCAGGGTTTCTGCAGGAGTTTCTAGGGTTCTGCAGTGTTTCATAGGGTTCTGCAGGGAGCTGTAGGTGTCTGCAGGCGTCTGCAGAGATCTGTAGGGGTCTGTGGTAGTCTGCAGGAACCTGCAGGGGTCTGCGGGTTCTGTAGCATCTGTAGGGGTCTTTATGGCTCTGTAGGGTTTCTGCAGGCATCTGCAGGAGTTCGTAGGGGTCTGCAGGTGTCTGCGGGGCCTGCAGGGGTTTGTACGGGTCTGTGGCATTCTGCAGTGTTCTGCAAGTGTCTGTAGGGGTCTGTAGGGGTCTGCTGGACTATGCAGGGCTCTGCAGGGGTTCGTATGGGTCTGTAGGTGTCTGTAGGCATCTGCAGGGTTCTGTGTCTTCAGGGGTTCATAGGGGTTTATAGGAGTCTGCAGGGGTCTGCGCAGGGGTTTCTAGGGATCTACAGTGTTTCATAGGGTTCTGCAGGGGTCTGCAGGGGTATACAGGGGTCCTCAGGGGTCCTCTGTGTTCTGCAGGGGTCTGTACGGGTCTGCAGGAGTTTCCAGGGTTCTGTAGTGTTTCATAGGGTTCTGCAGGGGTTCGCAGGAGTCTGCAGGGGCCTGCAGTGGTCTGCAGGGGTTCTGCAGGTGTCTGCAGTGTTCTGCAGGGGTCTGTATAGGTCTGCAGGAGTTTCCAGAGTTGTACAGCGTTTCATAGGGTTCTGCAGGGGTTCGCAGGGGTCTGAAAGAAAATTGAAGAACTGCAAATGCCCCAATCAAGGAAAGAATTGCAACAATTAATGGGAACTTTAGGATACTGCAGGAAGCCTGTGCCTGGATTTTCTATAATTTCTCTTCCATTTGTGAGAAACACCGGCTCACACTTAGAATTTAAAGAGAACAAAGTTGCCGAAGCAAAGGTATAAAAAAAATTTATTGTACGAAACAGCACTGAATCGGGTGCATCTCAAAGCGGAGGCACACCAATCTTTTAGCTTTTAGATGTTTTATACCCTTATCCCAGCTGCCTGAGTTTGTCTCTCTCCTCATTGGCTGAGAAGTTGGAGCTCACATTCTTCCTGACCGCCTGACCTATTACAGATCTAGTTTACGCCTTTTTACCTTACAAGGCACATATACCTACTCTACAAAATCATTATGCTAAACACACCTTTGATTAGTTGATTATGCTACACATTATTTCACAGTCTTTGCTATCATCTACTGTTCATTGTTAGTAGTTACAAGCACCCTGGTGGTCGTATCTTCATTTTCATCAGTCACCCTCTAGATGACCTTCATCCATTTATTAGCCTTCACAGTCTCTAGTCAGCCTTCACAGTCCTTTGTCCACTTATCAGTCTGCCATCAGCCTGACTCTCTTCACATAGTTGACTTCTCGTAAACCAGGATCCCTGGACAGCCCCAGGGCATTTCTAAGGATTAGTTCAGTGACTCAGCAGAAGGGTCTTCCTGGCCTCTTCTGCAGCACTCAGCCCAGTCCTTCTGTCCTCTCTTCCCTCTAGCTGTGCCTCTATTAGTTCCCTGGTCCTCAAATGACACCGTTACTCAGTGTGGATCCCCTCTGGATTTGGTTATCACAGTCTCAACTATTTTTCTGTTTCTCCGGTTCCCACAGGACATTGCTTCTCCCAGTCACGATGCCTTCCCAGAATTTCCCTGCGCTCTGCATTCATTTTGTAGCACTTTAAGTGGGGCCATCTTTCGGGTACAGAGCACTCATTTGTTCCTTTATGCTAGCTAGGATTCCTGGGTTCAGCCCCCAGCCACACAAGACCATCTGTACTCCACTCAGATGACCACCCAAGTGCCTCCTTGCTGTCCCCAAGGATTCTTTCGTGTATCAGCCTCCGTCTACACCCGCCTCCTCACAGTCATGCCACCTCCTGAGCCCTTCCTCAATCTCCACAGCATCTTGTAACACTTTGCCTCCCTTTCTCTCTCCTATTCTGTCAGGACCTCCCATCTTGCTTTGCTACACAGAGCTCCTTTATCCTTCTCTGCCATTGAGGGTACGCCCATTTGATTCCTCTCTCATTGATCTGTAGCTTGCCCAGATGCCCTCGCCGTGTCTCCAAGCAGCCTTTTCTTACCCTGCTCCCTCATAGTGGCTGTTTTCTCTATAGCAATGTTTTCCCAGTCCTTTCCCATACTCCACAGCCATAAAGGGACAGCAGGAGAGAAGCAGCTGCAGCTCCTCCGGCTGCCTTTATGGCTTCTGGGGGGTTGGCCCTGCCCGTGCCCCAGGTGATTGTAGGGAGAGCGGTGGGCAGGGTCTGGGGTATATAAGCCACAGCCCCTGTGGAGGATGCTCATTCTGCTCTGGGGCTTTTCTGGGAGTAGAGCTCTGCTGAGCCCTCAGTGACGTGCAGCTTTGGGGGCACTCAGCTGTAGGGGCAGGGGT